TCAAGTCAAATTCACGAATCTTCAAGTATAGGTAGTCCCCCTAGTGTTCGAGTTGTGAGTTATGAGAACTCGAATACTGAAATCATAATTTGGCAGTCCCCAATTTAATAGTTCCCTATAGGATAGCTAGTTCTGATGTTGATGGACTTTCAAATGGTACGGTTCCAAAAAAGGGACGACACTAGAGCTCTTTTTATCAAATATTTTTAACTCTAGACGGAAACTACGGAGGTTCTAATCGAGGATCATGCCATATTTTGATTTAAGCTAGTCATACTGGTTTTGATGAGTTTTCAATCTAGAGCCTTATTGTCAGAGTAATTTTCACATCTTCCTTTATGAATATCTCGTATCATATATTCTGTTTGTCTGGGTCATTGGTATTTAGCTTTGGGATCTTGAATATTCTCCAATATAATTCTCCTTCAACAAGGCAATATGGGGTGATACGCACTCAAAGTTGTTGAGACGCATGCTTATCTTCGGATAAAGTACCATTCTGCAAGTAATTAATGAATTTATTATACAAATTTCAAATTAAATTAATAAATCTAATCTAATTTTTATTCTAATTGATGATAGATCAGGGATCTCCCGAATAAGGGATGACTCGATCCTGAGACTGTTTGATCCGAAAATGATATTTTTCAATAAGAGCCCGGAGTTATTTTTGGATTCACTATTTTTAGCAGTAGATCTGAGACCAGTGCATTTGGCTCGGCTTTCTCGGGCTGCATAGTTTCTTTGGATTTGATTGATCAAGAGTTAAGAATCACTCTTTAACTCAATATTTTTGGTTTGAGTCCCCGAGCTAATTCAAGTCATGTAACATATGTTTCACACTCGGTTTCGTTGTTAATAATAAAATAACTTTTATGAATTGTCTAACTACTTTCCTGATAGATGTATTAAGCCTTATCCCTTACCTGGGACTTATAACATTTGTGGACCTAATCGTGTAGAAGTTCCAAATTTCGAGAATTATCCCAGAAGCAACATGTACTTGCTTTTCAGCCTCGGATAATATGTTCTAGCTAAAACTCAACCATAAAATTTGCTAAAACTTGTAATTTTATACCCGTACGTAGCTAATAAATAATATCAAATGTACTAAGTTCGACTATCCACTTAGATAGCCTTCCTGATAGTTCATGTTTATGCAGAATATTGCTTAATGAATATATAATGACTAGGGGAATTGGATGATATTGAATATAAAGCCATAGGTTTAGGACAACTATTATTAATGCCAACTTCTCAAAACGTGAATACCTAGTTTTTGTGTCTAAGAGTATTTTATAATAGATAGGACATTGTGTACCTTTGTCTTCTTGAACAAAGAATGTGCTTACTGAGACCTCCGAGACAGCTTAGTATACCAAAAATCATCCTCCTCCTCGGATTTTTGAATGCAATGGTGGGTTGATGTTAGCTAGAGAGTCCGGATAATTCGACTTTACGGACTAATCCGAGCTTTAGAAGTTTGATAAGTTCATGTTTTATTATTTGACTTTGATTTCTTCTTTTGCTTAACCATATTATAGTGCCGGTCAATAGTGAGCATACATGTCATTACCTCTGGCAGTATATCTGTCATGTTGGCATAGGGGCAAGTAAAGTAATTTGCGTTAGCACGTAAAAATTCAATCGACTTTCCTTTAAGTTCAGGGTCGAGTCTCAGCCAACGTAAACTTTCCTATCCGGAAAGTCAATGATAGTTCTAGTTCTTTAGCATTTGATCTCGTGGATTTTGATTCTTTCGGTTCAATGATTATGTCGGAAAATATTTGTCTAATTGTCTATCTACATTCGAGCTTCCTTCAATTGAGGACCCTGTAGAATCTTGCAATGTAGCAAGTTGATTCATTACCTGTTCAGGAAGATCCGCAAATTTTTTCAACCTATGAAAAAAGTCATGTATCTCTTTGCTCAGGCCTGGTTTTCAAATTTCTTCATACAGATTCAGATCTCCTAGGAATCACCTCCGTTGATCTTCGAGCATGTTTTTGACTTTTGATTGAACCTTCATGTCTTCCTATGTTCAATGCTTCGAATTATACCAATTGTAAATTTTATTTCTCAGCTCCGGGAAGGTTCGGTGTTGTTCTCCTAACTCCTTCGATCAGATTCAGAATCACCCTCGTTCGATTTTTGAGCCTATTTTCGGACATCCTATTAGTGTCAATTCGACTTACTATGTCTTCTTCTGTTTGAAGTTCGGTGTTTCAATGGTTACGCATATCATTCTCGTGGGATGGTTGGGAATCCCGGAGGTGTTCTATCTGTTCGTTCTGTTCCTTGATTTGTTTCTGTAAGGTTACAACTAAATTTTACAAATCGAAAGGACCTGGTGTATCTGAACCTCCTGTTCCGAAACTGTTTGGTGTAGATCTGGTATAATCAGTTCTGGTATTAATAGTTACGTTACCAATATATCTAGTACCGATGTCCATTCTCTATTTTTCTTTGTTCGTTACTTACCTATCATTATCATGGTTATTCTTCCATTTTTATTTTGCCTAGTAAAGCCATCTCCAACTCGGTTGTCCTCAACTGTGTTGATTGGCAAATTTCGGCCATGATTTAGGTTTAAACTGAAAACAAGCGAAGATTAACAAAAAATTATTAGTATCTTTGGATGAATAGAAAATTTTCTTGAGTTTCTAGTAACAAAACTAAATAGTTTAACCCAAAAAATAATCTTCAAGGCCAAAGCAATTAATTTTATGTGATGGGCCACAAGTAACTGATTCGGTCCGAATGATATAAATATTTATTAATACAACATAATATAAAAATAAAAAATTAATTCAATGACAGATAATATAGTAAAAATAAAACAAGGAAGAAATAATTCTTATTGGATGATCCTTGATAGGATGATGAGTCAAGCAGAGCTTGAAAAGCCGAATTATGGCAAACTTAGGAGCAATTTGCTATGAATTACAATGTATAGAATTGCACGGAAAAAAATTAGATGATCACAATGGTGGTGAAGTGTGTCTATATATAAGACTAATTCTAGGCAATCACTCTTCTTGAATTATGGGTCTATTATGAGCATTTACTCAATTCATTTGTTACTTTTGGAACACTTATAACAGCTGAGTAAGTGGTGAAATTCCTTAACTGATGAGCTAATTCTATACATGTTGAGTCAATTCTATAGCTATTGAATCAATTATGTACCTGTTGATTTAATTCTATAACTGATTGTCTTGTTTTGCCTGTTATAACTATTTATTGCATTTATTGTATGTTACATATTGATTTGTAAGTGATGGCGTAATAATAGTAAATTCCATGTAATATGGGATTAATTGATTCTTTTCTCATTTGTAATTATGAGTTATTCTCCGTACCTGATCCATGGCTATTCTATGATGATCAATAGACTAATAGACACGGTACGAATATGTTTGGTCCCGAAGGTGCTTCACATATCATCTTTATATGTCATTCTTTAGTTTTCTCATAACTTTGCTAGCATGTATCGCTATTTAATAGACCCACATGGCGAGTCTGTTTTTCACTAATATATTACTTACAATACTCTGATTTTTTTTTATTTGTGTAGTCTTCAATATTATCATGCTAAAAACATGTTTGGTAAATATTATTTATTCAAAATTTAGGAAAAAGTAAATACATCCACACCAGTTTAGCATTAATAGTCTGTTTGGCCAAGCTACAAAAATCATCTTATTTTGAGAAGTATTTTTTTTCTTAAAAGTGCTTTTCTCAAAAGTATTTTTGGTGAGAATCAGTTTGTGTTTAGCTAATTAATTTGAAAAATACTTTTGAACGGCAATAGATGTTTGTCCAAGCTTTTAAAAACTATTTCTAAGTGTATTTTTCTCAAAAGTGTTTTTCAAAAAAGTGTTGTTGGAGATAAGCTACTTTTTCTACTTCTCTAAAACTGCTTCTGTTTCTCCTTAAAAGTACTTTTTTCCTTCCAAAAACTTAGCCAAACATTTCAACTTTGAAAAAAAAGGTACTTTTTTGAAGGAAAAAAAGTGCTTTTAGGATGGGAGAAGCTTGACCAAAACTTATAGCCTGTTTGGCCAAGCTGCAAAATTCAGCTTATTTTGAGAAGTATTTTTTCTCAATAGTGCTTTTCTCAAAAGTACTTTTGGTGAGAAGCATTTTGTGTTTGGCTAATTAATTTGAAAAGCACTTCTGAGCAGCAATTAGTGTTTGGCCAAGTTTTTAAAAACTGCTTCCAAGTGTTTTTCTCAAAAGTGTTTTAAAAAAAGTACTTTCGGAGAGAAGCTATTTTTTCTGTCAGTTTTTCTTCCAAAAGCTTGGCCAAACACTTCAACTTTGAAGAAAAAAAAAAATTAGAATTGGAGAACTTTGATCAAACAGGTTACTAATTAATCAATTTCACTAAAGCGGATCTGCTCCCCACTAAACTACCTTAATGTGTAAAGGATCAAAAATGTAAAAGCAGAGTTGTGTGAAATGGCGAAGATTGGCGATAAGATTTGCTAATTAATTAATCTACTATGTCATCAGTCTAAACACAATCAAATCAAAGAGAATATTAATCTCTAGAAAATGTTAAAATAAGACTAGAAAAGAGAGTTTACACCCTATCTTATCTCAATCACCACAAAAATACCTTAGCCACCCAATCATCAGAAATAAATGCAAGAGTATGAAAAATAAAAGAAAAGAAAAGGTAAAAGAGAAAGCTTCTATCCAGCAAAATTCTCTTTATTCCTGCATATATAAAATTAGATGCTGCTATTTTAATAAGTGAAACTGGGAAAATATTTTTGTGGACAGAGGCGTTACAAACAAAACATAAGTCCTCACTAAGGTGATATCATTTCTATGACATCACTACGACCTACAAAATGTTTCCACGTGTTAACAAAAGCACCTTCCTTGTACCCACCAAGAAAGAATCTAGGAAAGTTACTCAAGGAAAAAAAATAAAAATAAAAAGAAATAATAAAGAAATGGAAGCAAGAGCAAATAAATAGAAAGAAGTCTTGAAAAGTCATCTCGTCAAGTCCTTCAAACATTTTCATAGCATGTCCTCTCCTTTACTTTCAACAATGGAAAATTTTCATTACTCAAACCCTAATCCTAACCCTAATTATGGAGCTACTGATTTTATTGAGACGCCGGAATTTGAACTCTCCGATTATCTCTTTCCTGTCGACGAATTGAGTGATGATTTTTTGTTACAAAATGAAATGACGTCTGAATTTGTTCAAAGTATTTCCAGCAGTGGATCATATTCCAATCCCACTCCAAGTTCAGCTAATAACATGCAAGTCCTATGATAAATATGTTGCATTTTATTGCTCAAATTATGTTAAGTATGAATCTTATTTGAGTCTTTTTCTTAACAGAAAATGTACAAAAGGTGTAAAGAAGTACAACAAGGTGGATGCAAAGTCTAGGGTTGCATTTAGATTTAAATCGGACTTGGATGTTTTGGATGATGGATTTAAATGGAGGAAGTATGGCAAGAAGATGGTCAAGAATCGTCCAAATCCAAGGTAAGTAACAATAAGAATAGTTATATTATTAATATTGCCCATTTTTTAATCATGAACAAGTATTATTCTTATTCTCTTACTTATCATTATGAGATTATAGAACTATAATTTTGCTTTTAAATTTATTTGATTCTCATTGTGTTTTTTCCTTATTCGTTACATCAAAGGGTAGAAAATGGGGCAATTTCAACTAAGTTAATTTGAGAACTATATATAAGTATCATTTTTAGTTATAAGTATTCTCTTAAAGATAATCATATGATCTCCTAAACTTTCACCAAATCCGCACCATCTCTATTCTCTCCTATAATTATAAGATCATCATTATTGTTATTGCATGCTCAAAGTGTCTTAGACCTTATTGTCTTATTAATGTCACTATAATTGAAGGGTAGTATTGAACTAAGATATACATAATTATAATATCCTATCACTTGCTAAAAAAAAGATAATTTGATGGGTGAAGTATCCCATATTATATTTACACAAGTTTCGGGAAAGGTCGCACCCAAAAAAAATATAATGTGGGCAGCCTAAAACCTTCCATATCCATTTGCCATTATAATTTAATGTATGCTAGTTATTCCATAGAATTTATATAAATTAAGTGGAGTATTAGAATAGCCATCTTATCTCCACCCCAGAAAAATAAATTAGAAGTGAAGAGTGGAATAGTCCAAACATATGGCTTTCCAGATCACTGTTAAGTATAGTGGATTCACGTGATAAACATTGCTCTACTTTTATAGGTACAGGTGTGCTCTTATATTATGCTAATTATAATGCTAGCAGCCATTTGGTTTTGGCGGATCCATATATGTGACAATCATTTACCAAATGCTAGCTAGTACAAGATATTTAGAAATGGACAAAGTTTGCAGTCTTAACTCTCAACACAATAAATACCTCGATCAAACATAATAACTAATGACACACAAAATATGTATAAATTTGAAAGAGAAATTAAGTTCACGTACCAGTTTGAGATTGAGCCATATATGTCAGGTTGATGTACGTTTAGGTCTTTTTTCTGAATCCATTTTTAAAGATGGTGAGGTCAATGAAGCAGCTACGTACAACACAATTTTTAGTCACTTGTAGAATATTACGTTGAAGAAGAGCAGAAGACAAAGGAGAGTTTAACCTCCCATTAAGGGCTTCATTAGGTTTAACCTACACTCATCGTTTCATTTTAGACTCGTCAACACATAACATGGATATACATTCCGGGGCAGAGCTAGAGTACGGGAAACGGGTTCAGCAAGAAGATTAGAAATAGGTAAAACATAAAAAATAGTCTAAATAATGTAAGCCAGTTTTTCTAACGGTCAATTCGTTTTTAACATTTTTAGTACCCATTGGGAGGTGGTCAACTAACCCAAGTTGTAGCTATAGGGACCTTTATGAGGGGCGGAGCTACAATATTACATACAGTTAGGATGAATTCAATAATTTTTTATCAGACAATGTATTAATTTACGAACCCAATTATTAAAATGAATTATGTATCCAATGACAAGTTCAAAATTCATAAACTTCATAGTTTCGGCTCTTCTCTTTATCACTGTTTATTTCTATCAATTCATGATAGCAATCATAATGTAGGGCTTCGAGTGCTAGAAATACTACAATAATTTAATCCAATGAGAACAGTTATCTTATCCCCATAGGGTTTATAGTGCTAGAAATACCATAGTTGTTGATACAATTAATAGGAGCATCATTAATTAAAAGGGAAAAGCTTCTTAATAACTTTATTAACAGTGTAATGACTGAAAGGGATTACAACTAAAAATATTTGTGGCAAAATTGAGTTGCTTCTATACTTTCTCTAAGCAGAAACAGTTAAGAACAATGTCATATATCACATACACCAGCTAAAATACTGATGATTATGATAGGACCATATATATGTGATGAATGTGACCTTTTTGATAAAGAAAATTTGGTATGGAATATAATTGTGCCAAAGTTGCAAAAATACTTTGGACAAGAGAGGGAAATGAAAAGGGACAACCGACAGTAGACAAGTAGAGAAGATAATGTTGTGCTTTTTGTTTCTGCTTTGGTACCCATTATTAGAGGGAACTTGAACATCCAATCATGTTAGGCGGATCCATTATTTAACGTTGATGGGTTGGTGCAACAACCGTAAGTAAATTTTTAATAGTAATTGAATTCACATTCAAACATTATTATAGATATTTAATGAATTTTTCGAACACACATTTATACTGTTTGGACAAAAGCTACCCGTAGGTCGCAAGATGGATCCGCCCCTGATGTTTAGACTGATATAATTCTATCTTCACATCTATCTTAAAGCATATGTTTATTGCATTAAGGGCAGTAGCAGAACAAAAAATTCTAATTAGGGGAATTTATAAGAATACAAAAGTGCCATATTTGGAATTTTGCGACCTTAACAATTTTTAGAGCCACTTCTATTTATACTAGACTAGAATTAGGGGTGTACTTGGACCGGGTTGGTTCGGATTTTATCAAAACTAAATCAAACCAAATCAATTATATCGGTTTGGATTGGTTCTGTTTTGTCGGATTTTTTGGATTTTTTAGATTTTTTTTGTTGCATGAATATTATTTCAATCTTGCATTATTAAAGTTATAGATAATATTTTGATAAGTGAATATATGTTTACTAAAAATTTAAAAAAAAAATAACAAACATATGATCTATTAAAGTGATCTTACGGGAGAATTATTTTTAGTAACACATAATAGTTTATTTTCTTAGTCGTCTACCAATAATTTTTGGTTGATATACGCTTTCAGGGTTAACCAAATTTAATAATTAAACATAAAAAATCAATATGATACCTAAATAATGATATGTTCTATGTAATTTTAGATTATCGAAATACCACTTCAAATTCGAAAAACATATAATAAATCTTGACATATGAATATGAAAGAACAAAAAGATGATTGACGCATTTCAATAACACATAATAAGAAAGTGATACAATCTATTATTTAAAGTAAATAAAAATGAATGCACTTTATAGTTCTATTGAATATTATATCCCACGAGAGGATCTCAAATATTTCTAGACATCTTTTAAATAAAATTTTATATAAAGTCTTAAAATTATATATAAAAAATTATATATTTATATGTCGGTTTGGTTCGGGTTTTTTTACTCAATACCAAACCAAACCTAGTCGGGTTTTTTAATTGGTTTGGTTTGACTTTTCTGTTTGACGCGATTTTTCGGTTCGATTTGTACACCGCTTACTAGAATTATTTCTTATGTCAAGGTATTCAACTATATGTTTGTACATGCACAAATTATAAAAAGCAATTTTTATCTTGTTTGTATTATATAATTTTTCGTGGGAGGGGATTCAAATGAACTACTTTGTATCATGAAGCTCTGCGGCCCTAGGAGGGGAGGAAATTAGTGGTGGTGGTGATAGGGTAAAATTCCTCTTTCTTTTATTTGTTACTTAATTAAAAATAAATTGAATAAACTTTATGTGGTAATAATCATAAGAAACTAAGAGTCCGTTTGGACATAAGAAATTTTTTTTTTTTTAAAAAAGAAAAATATTTTTTTCCGAAATCAGCGTTTGTTCATAAAATTTTTAATTTTCAATTGAAAATGCATTTTGGAATTTTTCGAAATTTTGAAAAACTTCAAAAAGCTGTTTTTCAAAATTTTCACTCAAATTACTCACAAATCTTCAAAAACAACTCAAAATTATATTCATGTCAAAACACAACTCTAATTTCCAAATATCATTTTCACTTGAAAAAAAAATTTACTTTTTTTTTTTTTTTACAATTCTTATGTCCAAACGCCCACTAAGAAGGAGATTGTATTTGCATGTTGATTGAAGCAAGTAATAAAAGTAGACGAAAAGCGACTTATGCCCAAATTTTGCGAATTTTCTCCCATTTCCTTTTATTTAATTTTAGCAACCGAACAGAACAATATGTAAATAAAAAAATAAAAAAACGATTTCACCAGAAAAAAAAAACAGAGTATTATAAGAATTTTACTGGAACCACAACAAATAGGACCTGTGCCATAATTATTAAAGATTTTACTGCATTTTCTTATTGGTCTCATAAAGGACATTTGCCTCACTATTATTAGCATAAAAAGAAAAGAAGAATAACAGTGGCTTTTATCTTTATTGGTGTTAACTGGCCTAACTTTTCAGTTAAAGTTGCAAAAGTGCGAAAGTATGATTAACAAGAACTGAATTCAATAGAATGCCCTCCATTTTATCTTCTTATTTTGTTGTAATGTAATGTATTGCACTAGTGCACCATTAAAAAGACGTCCTACACCATTTTGTTGATATCGACTAGAATATTCTTATTTTCTAAGCTAATAAGAGTCTTATATTGAATTTTATTATTTGGTTAGAAAATTTATTTCTTTTTCTACTCAAAATCTTTCATCTGACCATTCTCTCTAATTCTTTGACAGAAAAAAAAAAAATCAGCTACATCATTAGTTATTGAATATGTGGTTTGATATAAGTATTGCAATTTTTTCATATACCTTGTTGAATTCTTGAAAAATTTAACCTTCTTTTATTCTAAAAAGATTGTCCATATTTCACTCTTTTAGAGTTGAACTAATTTAGCTTTGTATGTGTCTGTAAGAGTTGTCTATATGATAATAAATATTATGATTGTACCATGTGTAAAATATTATTAGGTATAGTTGAGTTGATTAATGAGCAATTAATGGACATAAACAGGAATTACTACAAATGCTCAAGTGGAGGATGCAATGTGAAGAAAAGAGTTGAAAGGGACAATGAGGACTCAAGCTATGTCATCACTACCTATGAAGGAATTCACAATCACCAGAGCCCTTCTCATGTGCTTCACTACACACAATTCCCTCCCAAAAATATTGGCCTTCATAACCTTCGCCTTTAGATTTTTTTTTTTTTTTTTTGGACAAAAAAAAAATGAAGTTTGTAATTAAGTTGATCCAAATATTTGGTGTTAGGCCTGATAGGGATATGGTCTTAGCTCTTTGTGTCTTTCCAACAATTTCTATAGTTGTATTTTGAGAAATTTTCATAAACCACTATAATTTAGAGTTTAGTAACTGTTATTTGCCTAATTACGATTCGTAACTACTATTCAATTGTTATTAACTTATATCACTTGCATTCAAATGTGCAACGAATACAACTTGTGGCAACTGTATTCGTTCGTGTAACGAATACATCGTGTATCAACTGTATTCATTTACGCAATTGTATTTATTCGTACAACGAATACAATATGTATCAACTGTAACCAATGCGAAATATAAGGGTATAAACAATGGATACAGCTTGTATAGATTGTATACTGGGGTGTATACAAATGATACAACATGCATCGACTGTATTTGTTCGTGCAACGAATACAACTAAGGCAAAATACAGAAAAATAAAATGTTCTTGTTGAGAGTCAAACTCAAGACCTTCGCTAACTAAACGGGAAATCTAACCAACTGAGCTACGAGAGTTTGTTGCTCTCTTGTTTCAGTTCAAAACAATTAATCTCTTATTTCATGGGTTTGCTATAAGATTCAAATATAGCTATGAATGGTAAATTTGCTGAAAGTATAGTTACGAATGGTAAATACAGTATAAATATTTGATGTGTCGCGTAATTTTCTATTTTACTTAAGTCTTTGGTTTACTTGATGGAGGAACCTATGTTCCCACAAGGGATAATGATATATTATATTAAGCAAATTGCTGTTACAAAACTTGAGTTACACTATGCTCGTTTGAGGACTTTTTTCTTTTAAAAATTTTAAGTAAAAAGGTGAAACACCTACACTAGGGGCCATGAGAACTACATTTTGGGGTGATACCAAAACTATTTCCTTCATTACCATAGCCAAACTTGAAACTGTAATTACTGCTTAACTTGACACTACAGTAGTTACGGATTTGGCTAGGTTATGTAGGCGTTCGTCCCTTTGAATGGCGGGCTCGACTATATTTATGGCAAAACTTAAATAATTAATGAATTTTATAATTATTTGAAATAAGTGTCACATGGATTTAAATATTTAAGCTGTTTTTTTCCGATGAAACTGTGATTATAATTTATGACTAATCCCAATGCTCTAATGTTAAGTAGAGGCTAAGGTCGAAGAGTGTAGATAATGCTCTAATGTTAAGTAGAGGCTAAGGTCGAAGAGCGTAGATATTAAGATTTTCACTTCAAGTATGTCCAATTACTCCTTTTTTTGCTTTCCTCTCTCTCTAAAATAAGAGATTGATATCTTGTTGTCATTTTAGAAGTCTGTTAAGTGAGATTAAATATCTTGTTGTCATTTTAGAAGTCTGTTAAGTGAGATTAAACCAACCTAATATAATAGTTTAAAAGTAATTATATTGAAAAGCAATGTCTTAAGCGAAGGATTACTGTCATGTTTCAAACAAAGGAAATAAAACGCTAATATGGTTAGTTAAATAGAGTAAAATTTACAATTCCAATCAAGTGATATTTGAAGACCTGAAATCACGAGTACCACTTACTTGAACCTCTTATTTTGTATTTGCAAAAAGAGGAGATCTTTAGACAAATAGCCGGTCGAATTCACTATTTATTTTTTCTAGTCAGTTTACATAAATTTAATTCTTATTATACATTCTTATACATATATTACACATATATCATTTTTTTTAGTTTAAATGGTTGGGTTGTTGGCGGGGCATTTGCATCTATACCCAGCTTTTGGGTCACCTTTTAACTTATACCCGCTTTGCAAAAAAAATTACAAGCGTACCCACTTTTCGCGTTACTTCAGACATACGGGCCTGAAGTAGCAAAAATTTATGTCTGAAGTTTGAACTTCAGAATGTTTTGCCTGAAGTGTAGCAAAACTTCAGATATTTTTGCCTGAAGTTTGGCCTGACTTGCAAAGGCAATCACGCAAATTTCAGTTCATAGTGCAATGACAAACTTCAGTTTAATAAAACTACAGCATGTTTTGGCTGAAGTTTTTGTTTTGTAATTGATGAACTTCAGCATTCTAGGAGCTGAAGTTTGTTTTGTAATTGATGAACTTCAGCATTCTAGGAGCTGAAGTTTGTTTTGTAATTGCTGAACTTCAGTATTCTAGGAGCTGGAGTTTTTATTTATATTTGCTGAATTTAAGCATTATTAGAGCTGAAGTTCTAAACAACAATAAATTTAATAGATCATGATTAGCAGCGATTGATGCTGTTCATTTCAAAGATTAAAGAATAAAAAATATATTCGACATGAAAACAAGTTACTACAGATAAATTAGAACCAAAAATCAATGTGCCTGTAAAGCTAAAATATCTAAGAGGTTAAGTTACTGTGAATAAGACCAAACTGAACATAATGGGACAAGCATATATATATGAATCATCAGGCTAGAACGCATAACAATATCTCAAGCTTCAACATTCAGAAAACGAAGGAGGAGAAGGAGGAGGAGAAAGAGGCCTGAAATTATTTAAAAAATGGGTACAAGTTAAAAAAAATTTAAAAAGTGGGTATAAATTAAATGGGGGCGACCAAATAGGGCGCCCCGTGCAATTTTTACGTTGTTGGCTACTAAAAAACCAAAAATACTCGACAAAATTGGATCGATTTAAAAGAACACATAGTTGGACCGTTCTTGGAGATCTATGTTGGGCTCAAGAGAAGCACTTATTGGGCCCAAAATTGTCTTTGTTAGTTTGGGCCGAAGCTAACATTTTGGGTTTCCACGAGTCTTGCTTTAATTCATTGGTCGGTGACACATCAACCGTCTAAACTGTCTTTTCATAGCGTTTGATTAACAAACCTCACTCGATCTCTACACGAATCTAACTCAAAAAAAGTTCACAAATTTATACTCCAATCACTACTATACTGAAAAATCAAAAACCCCTATTCGTTTTCTTTTCTTTTTCTTAATGCAAAAATATACCTTAGTTAAATTCACCCATTTCAAGATTTGTTAATAGATCTACTGT